AAGAACTATAAGAGGCTCGATTAGCGTCATTCAGGATTTCGTATATATCGCATCGACGAAACACGGACAAACTGCTAGGTCGTACGTTAGGACATATCACGTTTGTCTTTTTTCGAACGAACATCCTTCGTTAAGCGTATCCTTCCTTTCGTCGAAAGGACGAATTTTATTTTTTTTCTTTCCAATGCCGCGGAAACAGAAATTTGATTATATATACCGATGACCCGAAGTATTACATCGATATCGTTTAATCATTTTCGAGATTGATCAAATTATCGGAGATTTTTATCCAAGATAAAATAAAGAAAACGTATCGTTAAAATGCGACAATAAATTCTGAAAGAAAATCATCGATCGATAAGTTGAAGAATTTTGTCCTATGACGATTTATTGTCAGTTTTGTAATTATCGCTGAAAGAAATGTAAAAGTGGACGATCTATGAGTGAAAAATCGCAACAAGTTCGCAAGGTTACATGTTATCATCTTTGACGCTTTCCGGAATCGCAAGTACTTTATGCAAATCATCTCGAGCTATGTACTTACTTGGGCGAGAAGCGCTTCTTCTCCTCTCCCTATCGTGTCTATCTATTCGTTTCCCCTACTTTTCTCGCTGCGTCTCATAGTTTTACTTTTGCATTTCTCGCTTTTACGGGCTTTACTTTTCCTCGAGATGACCCACTTTGTGTCTTCCCAACGGAAAATGCACAGAGTCTTCGCCCCATCTCTCTCTCTCTCTCTCTCTCTCTCTCTCTCCTCGCTCTTTTTTTTTTCTTTCCGTACCGGATCCTCTTTATTTTACTTCTACATTTTTTGCGTCAACTTTTGTTATCGTCCTTTGTTCGAATATTGTTAGAAAAAAGAAAGATTACCTACTCAAAGTTTCGTTCCGTTCGTTAAAGTCGCACGGCCAACGAAGAAACCGCTATAGGTGATTGTGTTCTTTGTAACTGAAGGGTTTCGCGATGAGGCACAATAAAATAATTTATTTCAAATGCAATATTAATGGAGCATGTATAGTATGTCGGTTGTTACTTGTCGCTTACGAAATGCTTATGGTAATTCTTACGGAAAATCACACGCGCGTTATCTACCAGGAAAATATATTGGTAGATACTTATTAATTACTTTAGGCAGAGAGCTCTTTTAACCCAGGAAGAAAATCGCAGGATTAGCGTTGCAAGACGTGTCGTTTTTTTCTTATGTTTCGCTTGGCAAACAAACAAGTTAATATTTGTCCCACTTCGTGTGCATTGTTTTCGACTTTTAACTTTTAAAAAAGACAAAGTTTGGAGAAAAATTTGGAAAAAAAGGTGTATTACCAGAGCGGTGATAAAGGTACGATGCGCGCAATCGATGAACATTTTTTTCGTCCACCTCTCATTCCATTAAATACGGGCCGTTTCATCGAAAATGGTTTGATGTCATTGCATCTCTTATATACGCGAAAACCGCACATTTTATGTGCCAGTTTCATGCTCGCATAAGCATCTGTAATATTCCTCGAGTATCTACTTACGCAACACGACCACTCATACTTATCCAAGTATGATACGTATACGAGTGCAGTGTGTGTCTAAGTCTACTATAGATTATAGCTATGGGAACCTGTACGCGTGTATACATCAACGGACGTATCAAATTTAAACGGTACCAAAAGTCATCCTCCATTTTTATTCCAAAGTGATTTTTCAAGCTAATCATCTCGATTAAATGAAGTTCTTTTGCCATCTTGATTGCCATCTATTACCCTTTGAAATGATCATTTTAATTTTCGATTCGATTGAAAATACTAACAGATTTGAAATCGATCGATTCGACGCGTTGAATCGAAAAAGTTAAACGTTATTATTTTACGATTTTATCGTTATAGATTTCAAGATTAGAATGAGAAAGCGACGTTTGTGTTCTCTAATCATTTTTTAAAACGATCAAGATAACGAAGCTATTATCGGATAGTTTGATATATCTAATAATATATCTAACCGTCTATCGTTCGAATTTTAAGCCATCGAAAAATATACATATTCGATAGAATAAGAGGGTTGTGCACCTGTAACGCTCGCCATCGTACGATGTCATACGATGATATTCACTCGGGAGACTCGAGCTACGAGTATATATCTAAGTAAGTACATCTTCGAACGGAGGAGCCGAATTGATAAAAACGACTCTAGGGAGAAGGGTGGAGACGTAGGAGACGACTTGGTAATATTTTTAAAAACTGTACAATGTGCTCTCGAGTATATATATAGGTAGGTATTTATGCGCGTGACAGTTTAACGTTGACTTCCTCGAACGAAGATAAAATGTACCTATATATAGGTTGTATCCCTTTATCGAAATTATGACGATTAATTTGTTCCTTTATCTCGATACATTTGAAAATCATCTAAACTTTTTATAAGCCGTCTTCCTTTAAAGAATGTCTGCACGAATGTCTGTAAAAATTTATCGAAGAAACGTTTAGAATATTTTCTCGTTATCGGGGACGCAGAAGAAAATTTAACGATACGCGCGTACGAAAAGACGAAGTCGAAAGAAATATTAGCCTAGGGAGCAAACGAGAGGGCGAATATCGATTTTCGGTCGCGCTAATAAATAAGCGCATGCGTCTTGTACTACGCTTCTACCTGGTGCTCAAAGAATTCCGACCCTGCAAGATCCTTTAAATTCCTTTTTCGAATATTCTCATCTAACAAGATCAATTTAATTTGCCAATTACACGATTTATGTATGTAGGTGCTTTTGCAGATATCTCCATTATACAGAAATATATATATATATATACATATATGTGTATATATATATATATATATATATATATACACATACACGCACGCATACACGCACGCATACACGCACGCATACACATGTACGTACATAGGAATCTACTCCTGTATATGGTATTTTCACTCGAGGCTAACAGATTCGGCACGATTGTAACGCGTTTAAGGATTGATTTCAATCGCTATTCGATATCATCTTTGTTAAATAGAACGGATCGAATTCATGAAGTCTCGCTTTATTAACAATACTCTTCGCTCGTTTCTATTTGCTATAATTGCAGGTAATCGTATATGTAAATATTTGAGAGATAGAAAAACATCGAGTCGATTGATCGAACGATATCTATATGTTTTTAAGCATAAAAAAAGATTTTTTCGAAAAGCGATATATACGATCGTATTATATGCGCGAAATCGCGAATACGTGTTCGGACGTCAAAGGGAGAGGGTTTGTAAGACTGCTGCCTTCAGGGGATGAAATTCATCCTGACGCGTGCAACTGGTACCCCAATTACTCGACGGGGATCGTTAGTCGATCTACCTCTCTCTTTCGCACAAGCGCTCCACTGCCTCCCTATCTCCTTCTAACCCTCGGCCTTGTCCGTTGATTTCTCCTTACGATGAACAGGAAAAGGTCGCTTTTCGATGGAATAGTCGATTCAATCGTTTTTTATCGCCGTAACTGAAATGCCTTTTGCCTTTGAAATAAGAGCGATTGTCCTTAAATTCGTAACAACTTTAAATTTACTTATTGGATACTATCAACATCATTCTCGTTTGCCTGAAATTTCAATTTGATCCTTTCTTCTATCTTAAACATTGTATTATTCCATTAGAATCAAGAACGTAGGGCAATCGAGTTACAAATTTTATTAAGACAATAGATATTAAGAAAAAATTCATAAGGTTACAGGTAACTGTGATAACTATAATATAGATCTGCGTGTCTTTTTCATTTTATCGAGACGATGGTAAGCTGTACGTAGGTAACTAATTTATTCGCTTACTGCATTTTTATATACGCGTATTAGGAGATCTTTATGTTTGTGAAATTTGAAACATTTAAAGAGCGCGAAAATACCTGTATAACTTTTAGGAAATGGATAATAATACATGAAGTAGGCTCAATAACGAGTTCATCATCATTTTTGCAACAAGTGGATGTACCGGATACGTATATAGGCAGATAGGTACCTGCACACATGTCTATCTACATATATAGATAAGCGAACGTCACCGAAAAGCCATTCTACATATTATACATTCGACCGATATTTCGAGCTACATAGGAAACCTAAAAGTGACAATAATGGTCTGGATTTGCGACTCGTCAAATTCAATTCTAGTATTTACCGTTATGAAATAACGACTGACCACATAATTATCATCCCCTTTTATCGATAATCTTAATTTTCATCGGCATCTTGCTATATCCTTTGAATCTCAATAAATATTGAAATGTCTAATAGTAATACTTCAACGTAGTCGTCATTTAATCGGCGAATTTTTCATATATAAGGCGATCGCCTTATAATATGCTTATGTACGATCATGGGATAATTATTTGAATGTAATAATAAATCGGAGAATCAAAATAAAGCTATTTATGGATATTGAGTTAAAATCAACACATGATAGTCGCTCGATTGACTTGCGTGTAAATACAAGCAAAAGAAAGCCTATATTCGAGTAAACCTAGAGTTACATATGTATTTATATAGAAAGGTACGCGCGATATAGGAAAGCCCATTCTCACCCTAGTGATAGGAGGGAGGAGGAGAGAGGATAAGAGAGAGAGAGAGAGAGAGAAGATTTTGCAGCGATCATCGACTTGGAGAACGGCGCAGTCGCCTAGGAACGAACTAAAAGCCGACTCGCTCACTCCCACTCCTCTTTACTTCTCTCTTTCTCCTGGTGTTGTGGTCTCACTTCTTCCCTCTCTCTTTCTCTATCCCCGGGAGCTTCTCCACCCTCGCGAAGTGTCGCTAGCTCCGTGAACCATCGTCAACTACCACCGGTAGCGACGGCGGCGGTGATAGCGGTGGAGGTGGAGGCGGTGGCGGACGCAGCGATAGCACCGGCAGCAGCAGCAGCAGCAGCAGCAGCAGCACCAACAGCAGCACCAGCAGCAGCAGCAGCACCACCACCACCACCACCACCACCACCACCACCACCACCACCACCACCACCACCACCACCACCACCACCACCACTACCACTACCACCACCACCACTACCACTACTATCACTACCACACACCATCAACATCACTATCACCATCACCGTCACCACCACCAATAAGCGGCAGCAGTAGTCGTCGCGTGTCCCGCTTTACCACCTCCTCTTCTATTTAGCGGCCGCTCCGCCGATGCCGCAGTACCGACTGCTTTCCGCGGAAGGTGGAAACCCGTGTAACGCAACTATACATATATAGATTTTCAATTAGTCAAGTGAGCCGACCAGTAAGGAAGAAAATTATGTGCCATCCCGAAGAAAGAAGTTACACTTAAAGGCTTTATCGTCTTTCATCGACGATCCTCCATGTTATACAAGTTCAAGAGAAGGAAAGGATCGATCCGCTACAAGGAAAAGAACGCAGACGAGAAGGTGGACGAGGACGAGGAAAAACGCGCGCGTTAATGTCCTCTAAAAGAATAGGAGAACGGGAGAAAAGGAAAGGCCACGTTGGAACCATGAAAAGAATAAGGGTATCGTGAGAGATAGTTGTTCTCTTCCCTATTTCGTGGAAAAGTCCATGATCGGTTCAACGCCGCGCCGTCCTGGAGAAGGAGAAGCATTCGCGAGAGGATGCTGCGCTACGTGGACTCGTTTCGTACGACCCTACCCTCGAGACTAATTCTTCTCTCCCTATTACATATTTATTCAGGTTCGTTTGCACGTTCGTTTGCACGTTCGTTTTCTCAAACTACATAGAACAATCGATCGTTCATCATAAAAGCACCCTTCTTCCTTTAGATTGTTATATGAATCTTTGTATATACATGTTTTCGAACGATGGACGATCATGTCGTCCTTTCGAATCGAATCGAATCGAATCGAATCGAATCGAATCGAATATATAATTTGCATACATAGTCTCATACATAGTCTCTGTTTCTGATTTTGAATGAATAACGTTGAAAATTCTCTCTTCAAGATTGCACATATCTGCATACATATAAAAGCTTCGCACTATTAACATTCAAGTATCGTCACGAATGAAAAAATACGATACTCAAAATACGGTGCTGCAGAAATTTATTATTTCCCATGTCATTTTTCTATCTGTCATCTACGATACGAGAGAACGACATATGAAAAGTATTACAGATAATGCCATTTAAAGAATATTGAAATTAAAAGTTTTAAGTTCGGTGCATTTTGACAAGCGGTTTTCAGCGATGGTACACCATTTTATATAATACGAAACTATACGAAACTACTTTCGAAGATGATATCATCTTAACTGCTTAGGAACATTTTAATTGACTTGAATTTCGATAAACCTTGCCTTGCCTTGCCTTTCCTTGCCTTGCCTTGTTCATTTGACCTCATCGTTTATTTGGCCCACTTAAATAAAACGATCCATATCTTAGTTCAATACATCGATCAAAACAATGTTATTGACCGTTCAATGTAATTTCGTTAGTTAATAATATGATCTTAGAGAAATAGGGGAAGATTGCGAGAGGGTGTTAAAGAGAAAGCAGGAGTGCATTGGTCGTAAGTACTTACGTATATAATATTTAATATGCACGCACAGATAGCTTACGTGCTATCTGTTCATATGCTATCTCGTTGAACGGTTAAAATTTTTCATCGGGCACGTTCGTTACAGATATAACGGCCCTTCGCATGACGACCCTACAAATACCGCAACACGTCGTGTTCAACGAAACGATTCGTATGCAGTGCAACTTTAGCCTGGACAACGAGCTGCTGTATTCGGTGAAATGGTACAAAGATGGTCATGAGTTTTATCGATACGTTCCGAAGGACGAGCCGACGGTACAAATTTTTCCCGTCGCTGGCGTAAACGTGAACGTGCGTTACTACGATTGACATCATTAAACGTTAGGCGATAAAGTCGAGCGGGGAGCATCGAGACCCGTACGGCTAATCGCGGATTCGCGAGCGAGCATTAAGCTCACCTTGTCGGCTTTCAGACGCATCATTCCACGGAAAGATCCGTCGTCTTGAATAACGTGGATCTCTCCAGTTCCGGGAGGTATCGATGCGAGGTGTCGGCCGAAGCGCCAGCTTTTCAAACCGTTTCCGATCATGCCGACATGACGGTAGTCGGTGAGTTTACTTCTACCAAAGGCGGATTACCTTCCTTCCTGTTCCTTTTAATTTTATCTCGTATTCTGTCCATTTAGTCCTACCGAACGAAGGCCCTTTAATATCGGGTGGTCGATCGAGATATCAGGTCGGCGACGTCGTTCGTCTTAATTGTACATCTGCGCCCTCGAAGCCAGCTGCCCTATTGACGTGGTTCATTAATGGCGAATCCGTAAGTGTCAAACTTTTCCAAAACCGTTCGTCCATTTCACTCATTCGTTCGTTCATTCATTCGTTCATTCATTCTCATCAATTCGAAGAGCGAGCTTTTCAATAACAAAAGAATATCGAACATCAAATGTACGCAGTTCGCATTCGCAGGCCGACGCGCAATACTTGAAAGGTCCGCATATTACTGCTGTCGACGCGAGAGGATTGGAAACGGCGGTTTTAGGTTTGGAATTTCGAGTTGCCAGTAAACACTTTAAAAGAGGCGACATGAAGCTGAAATGCTTGGCAACGATAGCCGCTGTCTATCTTCAAAGTAACGAGGAGAGCGTTGAAGGGGACGAGCGAATTTTGAAAGCTCCAGTAATGGAGAGCCGCGAAACCAGAGCACAGAGTCATATTCGCAATGACTTGATCAATGGTAATAAACAAAATGCTCCTTGTTCGCAAGAGATATATTGTTATTTTTGATAAGCATTAAGTAAGAAAGCGTTAAAGGTCTGACATATGTTTTAGGATGTTCAGCCGAAGCCTCGTTGAAATGGAAAATGCTCCTCTTAAGCGTAGGAATCGTTTTTATGCGATAATAAGTCGTCGCCGATCCATGTCGCTGCCGTCAACGCGCGAAGGAGTCGGAAAAAGATTATATAATAACATAAACGACTAAGTCAAGATACATGTGTCATTCCATCGTATCTATCGTATTCAATCTTTAATCCCCGCACATACCCAATGTATCTATTAATATCATTACATATACGACGAGTACTTATCTCTCTTCTCCGTGCGCGCTTCATCGATAAGTAAAAGTAAGTATTGTACCTACGTACTACGTACTACGTAGTATACTATTAGGTACGTGACGTACCTACGTTTTAGGCTCTAAATGTATTTACATGCACGCGCGTGAACAATGATAAAAGAAAAAGAAAAAAAAAAGGAAAAAAAAAAAAAGAGAAAAAGAAATGACATTCAAGAAAGAAAATCTACAATATATTATTATCGTTCGACATATCTAACGTAAAAGTAATCCGTCTTTTCGTACGGCTATTAAACGATTGTCCGAACTGAATCGTCGAAACTGTAGGTACTTACTTCAATAATACTCTTTTTCTTGTAATACTTTCACTTCTCCCATGAATCTTACTCCTTTTGGTTCGTTGATGGTGCGATGCACAAAACAGAATAAAAAAAGAAAAGCAACAGCATAAGGTGCGCTAGCATCGAGATCAGTCCTTTCATTTCTCTCGAGTAAGAAATACATGGAAATGTCAATCAACAAGATGATACAACAAAGTTAGATTGACTGAAATTCATCTTAATGATTCATTCGAAAAGCGTACTACGTGTATCGTACGATCGGTTAGCATCTATCTTTCATAATATTTTCTATGCGTATCATGGATATACATATCATTCATTTCTCATTCTGACAATTAAAAGAAAAATATTGTACTTACATAACACTTTATATGTAATGTAAGTGCATGATATGTACGTGAGTATGTAATGGGTGATAGCAGAAATATGATATTTGTGTGATGTTGTATTGTTTGTTAAAATAAAATAGAAGCGAAATTGTAGGTCGATTCCGATGTTACGTCGAATATGAAATGTTCTTGCAATATTATCTTTCTAAGATTTGGGAAAGTAAAATTCTTGTTTAAGACTCATCACGATATATTCACGATGATCTTCGCGGTTTCGTTAGAAAAGATAGTAGTGGAATCGATCTACGATATTGCGTATCGAACAAACTCTGCTTCCTTCTCGTACGAAGCAGCTCGTTAATGTCCCTATATATGTCTTACTCTATAAGTCTTTACGTGCTTGTAAATATGTAAATAATTTTCATCGTTATTAAAAATTATTCATTATTATAATACTTGTGCTGTGCACCTATAGTTTCAATAACATTTGTCCATTCGTATTGGCAGTGCGTATGTTAGTTGAAAAATCACACAACAGGAGATACATATTTGCACGTTCGAAATAACGATTTCAAGAATTTACTCGAAGAACGCATGATCTAGAAAAGAAAGAAGTAATAATATTGGTGTTATCATCGATTTTTCATTTAGTACTATCTTTATGTCATTTCAATTTCGTACAATGACAGAGCACAAACGATCGTTCACTTTTATGCCTTTTAGTTAATCGTGCAAAGAGAAAAAGGAATATCTTTTATCAATGGATTCGATTTTTTATGCCGTTATATTTCGTCGTAAGCGCCATCTATGACGCTTCACAGGAATATCTCGACTACGCTAATCTTTTTCATTGTTTAGTCTTCCAAGTGTTTTCATTATGAAGCAAAAAAGAGAAAGGATAGGAATTAACAAGTGACTTATTTTTTTTTTTTATTTCATAATAAATACTTGTCAAGTAATAGAAAAGATTTAGTGAAACTGTCGATATCTTAAAAACAGGATGCTGTTGCATACGATACTGTTCCTCTTACCATATTGGTTACGTTAATAATACATAGTTTATCTATGAATATATAAGATTTATAATTGGCATAAAAATACTTTTATATTATTATTCAGCTACGCATATAACTCTATTTAGTTCTCTTCTTTTAAATACTTTTCTTTCAATGTACGTTATGGAAGCTTTCATTTATGAGATTCTAGATAAGTATCAGTAAATATGAAAAGAAAAAGAAGAAAACAAATAAATGAGAAAGGAATTGGATTAATGTTTACAAAGTAATGAAATAAATAAAAATATTTTTAATTTCATTATAGTCAACGCTCTCTCTCATCTTTCATATTTACATGAAACATTCATCCAAGTACACCGACACCTATAAACGCGCGCCTGCGCCCATCCATATATGCACATCATTGTATGAAAAACGTCAGATGTCAGATTTAACAAAGTTCGATAGGTTAGAAGATTGCACATACCACTAGCGAGCATCGACATCATTAGAGAGAGAGAGAGAGAGAGAGAGAGAGAGAGAGAGAGAGAGAGAGAGAGAGAGAGAGAGAGCCATGAATTGTGTAAATAAAATAAACTCACTTTGTTTCTAGTGTATTAGAGTACAACAATATAATTACTGCTACTTACTATCGGTGACATAAACTAATAACGTGCAAAATACGATGGCAGAAAATTTACCAAAAGTTTTTGCAGCAGAAGATTTCAATGCGGAAAAATGTGAGGAATTTTGTATATAAACATTTTTACTGTACCTTTATTCATCTTAACCTTGATTAAGTTTTATTTATATCGACAAAGATATTATCTCATATCGAAGGATACATTATGTCGTTCTAAAGAAAATAAGTGTCTATTTTGTTTTTATCATCTTATTCAATAGCATGTTCGACAAAAACGTCATTAAACAATGTCTTTTCAGTCGTCAAGGATCTCAGTGCGCAATGCGTTGGTGCGGATGAACTACGACAGCAACGTGCCAAAATTCAAGAACTTGCGAATAATACATCTGCTTTGTTGAAGCGCAATGTCTATCAAAATTATATGCAATTTATAGAAACAGCTAAAGAAATTTCTCATTTGGAAAGTGAAATGTACCAGTTGTCGCAACTGTTAAGCGAGCAGCGTTCTTTATTAAGTACACTTGGCACTAGCAGAACTACTGGCCTTATGTTTGAAGATTTATCCCAATTAGACAATAATAACGATAATATTACCAAGGAGCAAGAGCAAAAACAAAAGCTGATTCAACTACTTGAAAATGTTGAAGGTGCCATGGTTAGTTGTTAATTTATTTAATAAAAAAATGAATTTAGTAATACAAAAAAAAAAAAAAAAAAAAAAAAAAAATGAATATAGTAATATTTTGCCTCGCCACAGAATTTGGCAGAAATTGCTGGTCGTGTTTGCTTGCACGAAGGTTCTCTCCTAGAATTGGATCCAGTCGATGGGATGCCATTGAAAAGAATTCATGCTTATTTATTCAACGACGTATTAATGATAGCCTCTTGGTTAGCTAACGGCGGCAGAAGAGGTCCACCCAGATACAAGATGCAAGCTGTCTATAATTTGCAAAGTTTAGCTGTCGTCAATATTAGAGATTTGGGTACGGTGAAGTTGGCATTTAAACTTCTTGCATTTCCGGATACCAGGGTGTTTCAGTGTGCAACCGCAACAAGTAAAGTTAGTGTAATAAAAGAGCCATGCTTATAGAATATACAGAATGATTTGACGGATATTATATATTGCAGAAGGAATGGTTGGACAAATGCGAACAAGCAAAGAGAGCCAAGCTGGCGCAAGAGAATGGAAATAATGATGGGGATAAGAATAAACTTTCTAAGGAAAAAGAAACGATACCGTCGCGCTCCATGTCTTTGGAATCGAATACATTAGGTTAGTTTTTATTATCTTGCAAGTGACAACAACTGGGAAATTTGTCCTCGACCATCTTTCTACATTTATTTATTTTATTAAGAAATATCCAATAATCTTTTATCTGCGAATTTGTAGGTATAGAAGATGAAGAGGAATCGGAATATCACGAGCCACCGCCCGAATGGGTATTAGAAGTGGCAGAGGATTTGGACTCTTGCATAGCACAACGCCACTTTGAAGATGCTTATAGTCTTTTAGAAAGAGCTAGGACATATTTGAAAGATATGACAATGACGCCTCTCCTGTTGGAAATTCAAACGAAGGTTAATGAGAGAGGACGTGCTTTAATCGATGTTCTAATAAAAGAACTTGAATTGAGTTCAGAGTCAAAATCATTGCAAGGCGGTGGTTTAAGAAGCGCACGACGTATAGTTAAACTTTTAATACAATTAAATCGAAGCGCTCAAGGATGTAAATTGTATCTAAGATTATGCAGTGCTATGCTGAAGGCACGAGTTAAAAGGGTAAAGAGAGAAGGTGCCACTGTGCCTTACATACGACAGCTTAGTGCGATTGCTTTCAGTAATATAGCAGAAATTGCAAAAGAATTTTTGAAACTCTTTCCCCAGTCTACAAATTGTACTTCCGGTAAGAGAGTTGTAACATATTGTCACTCGATATAAGAATTATATTCTTCTTTATTGATTTTCCTTTTCCTATGTCACAGGCTTAGTGGTGTGGTGCAGTCAAGAGATAAAATACTTGACGTCGCACTTGACCAATTTACTTTTCATCCCGCAAGTATCATTAAGCGTTTTAGCCGAATGCATTCTAGCTGTTAGAAGTCACTGTGACCAGGTGAATCATGAACAAATCTTATTAATATCTTATAATAATGCGTATTCGTGGATTTTCTTAGAAAATTGTCAGAATACGTTAATTTTATTATCTTGTACAATATTATAGCTAACGCAACTAGGTATGGATTTTCGTTATCAATTGGATGGTCAACTCAGATCCCCATTGTCTAAAGTTATACAAGATACTAGTGAAAATTACATCGATACCGTTACAAAGGGCCAAGCTGCAGAGGATACATGGAGTCCGACGAATCTTCAAAGTAGTCCAAATCTTCAAAATTTGTTATTGGAATTGGATAATCTTGGTATCACCGTACCAAAGGGTTATTTGACAAATGACTTTTGGATCGCATTAACCAATAATACATTAGCATTTTCCAAATTATACGTTAGTTTTCTCGAGGATTGTCTAAGTATCGCGACCCCGGAACTTATGCAAACGATCGATACTGCTCTTTTATCATTGATACGAACGCAAGTACAACATTTGATAACATCTCTTAACAATCCAAAATTAAAACAAGAGGTAATTGGTGACACTCGTAAAATCTATGCACGGATCTTTATTACCTTATAATTACTTTATTATTCGATATTTCAGAAACGAATGATACAGGATAACGCGGCTTATGTCAGAGATGTAGTAATCAATAGAAGTTTGGAATTATACAAAAGTGTAACAAGTCGGAAGTTTACCAAACTTTTAGTACTCAAAGAACAAATTGTGCTTGAACAAATTTCTCCGATGAAGCCTAAAGCTGCACCCAGGACTTCGGTACCTAAATACTCATCCACTGAATACATTTAAATAACACGACATGATTGAAAGCATAATCAATTAATGCCATGGCAAAACCTATTTTCATACAACTCAGACAGACTGTATAATACTGTATATATACATACACACACACACACACACACACACACACACACACACACACACACACATTTATACATGTGTATATATGTATACATAAATCGCATTCTAAGCATAAAAATTAAATATATTCAAATTTAGAGAATACACGTAGCACTGCCTATTCATATCTAATATATGGACAGTTATTTATGGAAAATATTTTGTGTAAATTAATAATCCTCTATACCAATGATGATAAAAAAAAAAGTATGCATTTCATCTAAATTTTAATCCGACAAACCTTTACATATTATGGTCTCTGTGATAACCAAACATCAATCAAATATTTACAGCAGAAATAAAAGAAGATAGTTAAAATGATGTAAATTTGAAAGAATATAATTATAACTACTTTACGCTTTCACTTCTTTTTATCGTTAGTCGCAGTATTATTTGTTTCTAATTTTCTTCTCTTTGCACGTATGTCTGCTAACGTTTGTTCTATACTACGTTGATCCTTTTTATTCTCGCTAGGTACTAAAACAAAAAAGTAATACATTATCGTATAGGTGAACATATCAACATGAGACGACACCGTCGAGATGCTACTTACCACAACCATAACTGCTATTAGCTTCTGTTTTTCTAGCAGCTTCAAGGGCTGCTTCCTTTCCAATTATATGCTGATATTTATCCTTATAATAACTATTCGGAACAAAATTCTCTTTTCGTTTTTTCGAATTTAATGCCTCTTCTTCCTCTTTTGCTTGTCTTTGTCTTTCCTCTTGTATCCTTTTTGCTACTTCTTCGTTCCATTCTTCACCTTTTCGAAGAGTATTCAATTGATCTTCCGAAGGAGCATGTTCCCTCTTGAAGATCATAATGTAACGGTCAATACCTTCTTCTCCAAACGAATATGCCCAAACATTTGCAACTTCGGCAACATCGTGTCTAATAAAGTCGGATATGAGATCAATTAAAATATAAAGATGTATTTGTTTCAATGCTATTTGTTTATATACATTATACTTCTATGAATCTGATCCATTGCAGGAAATTTATACTCTTTTGCTGTGTCATCTTGAAGAAACTTATTCATTTTCTCTTCTACCTATAAATTAAATAACTTCAATATAATAGAATTATAAGTAATTGGTGTTAGGTTAATTAATTGTTTTTAACCTTCTTTCTAAAGACCTTCAATCTTTCGGATTCTGCTTTTTGATGCTTTTGATATTCCTCTTGTTGTTCTGCGTAATACGAAATGATTAAATATGACACACACAAATCACTTTGTCACAACATGCAAAGCAAAAGGTTAGGTTACATTTTTCAACTGACTTTTCATTAATGCCTTTTGTCTGTTGCTCACTGCAGGTGGCTTTTCCATAGAGTTCAGAATAGATCCTAACAAATCCATCGTTCATAGAGACCTTAGATTATTTCTTACTTGAATAAATAACTAAACAATGAAAATTAGAAATTCTTCTTTACGCTAACGCAACTGAACACCAAACAAAAAATAAGCACCTCGTTTCGTGTCCGTCGTTCATGCTTCTATAATATCTATCTAAGAACATAGGTGCGCTGGTATCGTGAGAAATCCATTTTTCGCGGCATCGTACAAATTCGTTAGTTAAGTAATTTTATTATTTTAATCGTCAATGTCCATTTATATAGATCTTTATGATCTAAAAATGATAAATTCTATTAATGTCTAACGTATCGAACGTTTCGTTGCTACAGCTTCGATCTATATTGTAAAATTCGTAAATTTATAATACGCCATTACTTGCACAGCCCAGTTATGATATTATTATCATTATTATTGTTATCATTATTATTATCATTATTATTATTATTATTATTATTATTATTATTATTATTATTATTATTTTATTGTTATCCGAACTATACTAGTCATCTAATTTGCCGTTCTACGTCTTCTTCCGTGCTCTTTTAGACTATATATTTCTAAGTAGTAGAATTATTAACTCGGAAGCGCACATATTTTTCAACTTATTTTTAAACTTTAATTTCTTAATAGTATTTTTTAGCACTGTTTGTCTTTGTTATAAATTTATATTTAAATGCTCTTTTCTATTTCACATTGTAGACATGCCCGTTTTATAATAGACATTTTAATGGTCAAACAAGAAAGGACATTGGAAGGACCATGCAAGTTGGAATACACAGGCAGTTTCCTCTCGTACTCCAACGAGTTATACGTCGAAAAAGAATCTTTACGTACCGTTACATTCAATCATCTTACGATGATTTTATAATTATTTAAACGATAAGCAATGTAGACGAAATGCGAATGTTTAAACAACAGTATATTCCGTCAAAAATCATATAGCTCTTAAGAATCCGTCCATAATGGACGCGGTATAGTATGAATTAATATTTAAACGATAGTAGATTCGTTTAAACATTATAAAGATAGTGACGGGCGAGAAGCTTAATATAATTTTAATAAAAAATTTCAATACTTAAACATTTTTATCTCGGTCTCGTTTAACATAAACACCGTGGTTTATTAATTTTGAGAATTACTCGAATTAGTCTTTCGGATTCCGACTGAATCTTTCTAAATGCAAGAAAAGGTTATAAATTAAATACCCTCGGCAATTTTATAAAATTATTCAGACGGTATATAGTGTATGCAAAATACAATAATACAATATTTAAACAAGAGTAGACTCGCTTATTCATTAAAAAGCCGGTAGCGGCGTTCATTCGTTAATGAACGCTAATGTCACACGTACGGTTATGTATACGATATCGGTATATATTGTTTCACGTTTGATTTGTTTCAGGCTGAAAGCATAAAGAATAATAAATAAAATTAACACATGTGATAATTATTATATAGATTTGCGAATTTAATATAATATAAATGGGAAGCTAGACAGATCGAAATTAATGAAGTTAGAAAAAAATGCCCGATCACGTATGGAAAGCTGCTTGTGCGAACGATAAAACGTTAATAAGAATGAATAGGAAAGTCGTTCCCGATCATTCATTGATTGCTTAAAATAATTTTCATATAAACTACTATTACTTTAAAATATAAATTTTCGAAGTAGTTTACTCGTGTAATATAAACATAAACGCCTTGCTATTTTCTTTGACAGTTCGCGAGTTAGTTTCCTCTTGCTCTTCGACCTGGAAACATCGCGGTAGTCTTTTCTAAACGCTAAAGCTTATAAATTAATATTTTCGGTAAGTGTGTAATTATTTAAACGATTTTTATTGCACGCGGGATAGAATAGAGTAATATTTAAACAATAGTACATTTATTTAAACATTAAAAAGTCTGAAACGCGCGCGGGACTTACAATAATTTTAATATAAATTTCTATTACTTTAAATTTTTAATTTCGGAGTAGTTGCCTCGTGTAATATAAACATAAACGCACTTTTTCACGACATTGACAGTTCGCGAGTTAGTTTCCTCTTGCTCTTCGACCTGGGCACATCGCGATTGTCTTTTCTAAACGCTAAAGCTTATAAATTAATATTTTCGGTAAGTGTGTAATTATTTAAACGATTTTTATTGCACGCGGGATAGAATAGAGTAATATTTAAACAATTGTACTTTCATTTAAACAATAAAAAGTCTGAATCGCGCGCGGGACTTACAATAATTTTAATATAAATTTCTATTACTTTAAATTTTTAATTTCGGAGTAGTTGCCTTGTGTAATATAAACATAAACGCACTTTTTCACGACATTGACAGTTCGCGAGTTAGTTTCCTCTTGCTCATCGACCTGGGTACATCGCGACTGTCTTTTCTAAACGCTAAAGCTTATAAATTAATATTTTCGGTAAGTGTGTAATTATTTAAACGATTTTTATTGCACGCGGGATAGAATAGAGTAATATTTAAACAATTGTACTTTCATTTAAACAATAAAAAGTCTGAATCGCGCGCGGGACTTACAATAATTTTAATATAAATTTCTATTACTTTAAATTTTTAATTTCGGAGTAGTTGCCTCGTGTAATATAAACATAAACGCACTTTTTCACGACATTGACAGTTCGCGAGTTAGTTTCCTCTTTCTCTTCGACCTGGACACATCGCGATTGTCTTTACTAAACGCTAAAGCTTATAAATTAATATTTTCGGTAATTTTATAATTATTTAAACGATTTTTATTGCACGCGGGATAGAATAGGTTAATATTTAAACGATAGTACATTTATTTAAACATTGAAAAGTCTGAAACGCGCGCGGGACTTACAATAATTTTAATATAAATTTCTATTACTTTAAATTTTTAATTTCGGAGTAGTTGCTTCGTGTAATATAAACATAAACGCACTTTTTCACGACATTGACAGTTCGCGAGTTAGTTTCCTCTTGCTCTTCGACCTGGGCACATCGCGATTGTCTTTTCTAAACGCTAAAGCTTATAAATTAATATTTTCGGTAATTTTATAATTATTTAAACGATTTTTATTGCACGCGGGATAGAATAGAGTAATATTTAAACAATAGTACATTTATTTAAACATTAAAAATTGTAAATCGCGATTACCGAATCATTTCTCCTTTTTCTTTTGACGAGGAAACATCTAAAGTGTCTCAGGATGTCTTCGTTGCAAGTATCAACGAATATTAAGGTAAATATATTTTTATATCTTACGTTTCTTCAATAATTTATACAGTTTCTTATTATAACGGTGATATTAATAATTTTGTTTTTATTTTGTTGTTTCAGAACGTCAATACAATCGCTCGGGAATCAATGTTGTAATCGAATATTTGTATCTCTTAAATATGAATATCGTGAAGTAGAAGCAGTGTTCGTTCGTTCGCGTTTCGCGATTTAAAAAACAAAGGTTTTTGCAACGTCTGCGTGCAATGCAGTCGTTAGAGTCAGTGTTTGTTCGCAAACTTTATTAATTTTTTAACAGTCGCATAGGCTGTATTTATAAAAGACGGTAGAGTTTCGCGAAGTAAATTCAGTGAACGTTCGTTAAAAAATAACTATCGCGATATAGAGTCAGTGCATCATTGAAGAGATTCTTGATCAACTTCCATGTCGACTTACCTAATTTTCAACCACATACGAATCGTCCACTCTCAATTTCGATTTGGACGAGTGTTTTGGAGCCATCGCAGAACTTCTTAAGTGGTGAGTGAATTTTTAAGTCCCTCCAATCACTTAATCATGTCGAGGACGAGAGGTCCAAATCGGCACGGGTGATTGGTTGTAATTAATTAGTAGAAGAGCATTGAGTGACCACGAGTAAATTCCTTCGGAGATTTACTCGTGAATGGTTTCTTATTTTTTCATTTATTTATTAAATAAGGATAGGGTCTTCTTGCTCAAACGCGTTTATAATTATTTGAGATTTTGAATATTTTAATACATTTTAAAATATTTTACTCGCGCGGAAATAAGTAAAGAATCGATATTCATAAGTTCTAATAAGGAACGAGTAAGAAGACATTCGCGATGGATAGTTTCTGGATTACAAACGAAACTGTGGATGATTTTATTACAATAATTAAAATATTTGTTTGTAAGAAGGAACGTCCAAGGTTTTGCTTTATATATTTAAATAATTATTAATTAAATATTTAATCAATTTAAATTGATACAAAAAAAGTCTCGATAGAGTCATTGATTTTGAAAGAGATAAATCGAGTAGAATGATTGCTAAAAAACAAAGAGACGTAGTCCGTAAGCCTAGATGATAAATTAATTATTTTTTAGCTCAGGATTTTCAGCAATTAATATACTATTATCTAATTTTTAATATTTTTATAATTAATATCTAATTTCTCCCACACAGCGAAAAAGTATCTTTCGTAAGGATAATAAATTTTCAGATTCGTTAAGGTTGTATTAGGGTTATATTTCATATCTTAGAATTTGGAATCAAATTTTGTCGTTACAGTTTTAGAGTGATAATCGATTAGGTTGATGCAAAGAAGAGGCTATATGCCGAAGACAACATGTGGCTCAAGAGGACAACTATTAGGCTATTGAGTTATTTTCGAAGGTTCACTAGGAACTTTCGAGAATGGCTCTTAGTTTTACTATATTAGTATTTTAATTTTACCATGTTGTCACTCAAAATGCTCTTATGGTGATGGGTGTAGGGGTGTAAATTTAAAAAACTGAGAAGGAGTAACTTTCCGTAAATAATATTCCCACATTGCCACGCGTACGCGAATAGGATTATTTCATATTTTATGCCTTTTTAATATTAAACTTTTTTTTAAAACTTAATTGAATTTATGATTCTAGTATAATAAAATCAAATATTACGTTAAAGTCGATTGATAAATTCAGCACATTTTTTCTTTTCTAAAGTTCAATTCAATTCATAATTTTATTTTAATAAAATCGAGTTCTATATTAAAATCGCCTATCTATGAAATGTAAAAGTAATATAATATTTCTTTAGATCAGTATTCAAAATTTTTCATTCTTTTTTAATAAATATTTTTTTTTCTTAGCTTTTAAGTTTAATTACATTAAATTCCGAATTTTATCGTTCGTATAATTAATATACATATATACATATTCTTTCTTT